ATTCAGTCTCTACCTACTTCGTGAAGTATTGATGACACTCATCTATTAAAATAAAATGAAAACTTTCAATGATGAATCTTTTAGTTATTATGATCCATTAAAAGAAAATGAAACTTGTAATGATGAACCTTCTATTTTAAGAAGTAAGACGCCAAGGATAGAAAAAATATGTTGGAAATGATTTTTTATACAATAATGATGAACCTTTAACTTATTTACAAGCTATTTCGTCAAAAGAAGCTTCTTTTTTACTTGAGGCAATATAAAATGAATTAAATTCCATCAAACAAAATAATTTTTTTTTACCGATTTATCAAAAAATTGTAAGTTAATTGGGAACAAATGAATTTTTAAAAAGAAATTAAATTTATTGACAAATATAAAGTGAGGTTTCTTGTGAAAGGTTTTTTCTCAAAAATGAATTTTGATTATTTTCGTATTTGGTAACATGTATTTCTTTCTTTAGCGCTTTAATTGTCTTGACTTATATTCACAAACTTTATATTCATGAAGTGAATGTTAAAACTACATCTTTCAAAGATGAATTAGAATAAATTTATATGGTGCAATTGGAGGGGTCATGTAATTACTTGTCAAGAACACAGAATTGTGTATGGTTGATTAAATTTTTATATGGTTTGAAAAAAGCTCCTAATAAATTATATCTGACAAATTATTTATGAAATTAATGAAATAATCTTATGAAATATATTTCCTAGTATGTGAATTCTATGCTGATTTTTAGACTTTCAATTATGATCATAAGTTTCATAAATAATTTGATGAGCTCTAAAAAAATTATATCTGATAAATTATTTGCTTGTTTGTGAATGATATGTTGATTTTTAGTAGCAATCTTAGCCATCTTGAATTAATAAATGAGACAAAATCTTATCTTACTTCGAAAGTGATTTTGAGTAGGAAAGTCATAAAGAAAGATGATGGTATTATACTATCTCAAAAGTATTACACTTGAACTCCATAATGAATCACATACACATTTAAAAAAAATATAAACAAAATTGCTTGACGTGCACCTTTTTGTTTACATTTTTTCGCACATTTTATCTGTCTATGTAGATATAGTTGTCTGTATACAAACAATTTTTATATTTCCAGAGAGTTATTTGTATATAAACAACGATGTCTATATAAACAGATAGATTTGTAAATAGAGGCCGTTTGACAACACTGCTTTTCGGCTTATCAGGCCTATCAATCAACTTTTTCACCAAACACTTAACTTTTGTATTCGCGCGCTGAATTGTGTAATAAGAAGAAAAAGTAAGATTGAAGTTACTTTTCTGGCTGTATTGACTGAAGTTACTGTAGATGACCATTTTAACTATTTTTACATATATTTTTTTCTTTATTTTATTAATAAAATATATTTTAAATTTTTTCTTCTTCTTAAATCAGCCGAATCTGCCAATGCAACTGCTTCAGCCAGAACTTCATAAATTTCAATAAAATCAATCAAATCAATCAATTTTCATACTACCAAACGGGCTCATAATGTACATAAAATTCAAAGGTATACATGTAGCAATTTTTGAAATATAATAAAAGTGACCCGAGAAAAGTGACCTGAAAAAACAATTTTTCATTCTACCTAGTATGCAGTTATAGAGTAATGATCCTATCCAGCCGGAGGGACAGGATCCGTCGTCCGGCGGTCGCCATTTGGAGCCCTTCCTGATGGAATTTTTTGTTAAATTTTTTTGAGCATGTTCTTCATGAAGTCTAGTTTATCCATACCAAATTTCAGCTAAAAATTCAATCGGGAAGACAGTCAAATTTGGTATGGATAATATAGATTTCGAAGAACATGCTAAAAATTCCACCCAGACTCTGTCCGTCACGTAGTCTCCGATTGGTGGTCGTTTTTTTGTTTGATTTTAAGTGCTGTTTATGCCGTCAATTGGTTTGAATCTGTTGTAATCATGTTTGATATAAGTGTCTTTACCAAAAACACTCAATCACTTACGCTCTGGTAAACGCAGCCTGCTGAGCGAGGAAGAAGATGTTAAACTGGATTTGATTTGCAAGTTTTTCTCCTATTTGGGTTTCTCTATCTTAATGGCTACAAGGCCAGTGAATTCATCGTTCGTACCCGTTTTCTCTTTCCCCTTTCTCTGTGAATACTTCTCACATTTTGATTGCGTCTCCATTTTCTTGCAGTGGGTGTAACAATTGCTGCCGGAGCCCGTCTCCGGTCTGGAGACCATCAAGCTTGTTCTTCCAATTAGGGCTCAATCCTAGTCGGGCCACCACAACTCCAACCTCCCATAAGACCGCCATGTCCACACGGGCCTGCTCCTCTTCTCCTTCTCCAGGTCCCTTACTGCCCGCACTTGTTGAATCGATTCTTTAGTTTATTTGATGGGCTGGAAATTCGTACGAGTTCTTACATTGTCAAGAATGGGTAGCATTTTCATGGCTTTCCGCATCATTTTGCTTATAAAAAGGTTTTGACACATGTGAATTATAATTGTGGAGATACATTTGGTAGAAGCTAGAGACTTACTAATTCGAGATAGCTGAAACTCAGTGCTCTCTGATGAGAGATTAGAGAAGAGCAAAATAAAGTTCTGATTATGGATAGAAGTGAAAAACTATTACCCCCATTGTTTTAGTACATCAATGGATAGGGAGGGATGGGGGAGGACGAGCCAAGCCAGCAGTTTTAAACCTGAGCTTAAATGAGAGCTCGAGGAAGGATGGAAGAACATGAATTAGCATTGATGGATCAAAACACAATCTTTTTCAATCCCAAAATGATAGTCCTACATTACTAATCACAGGTCAACCCCATTCACTTTTAATATCTCATTATATGTATCAAAATTTTATCATATTCAACTAATTTATTTTGAATCCAATACAACTTTTAATGTACTTTCTAAATATATAAATTTCAGTTGTTAGTTATACATACAATTTTATCAGGGAGAGGTTATGTTTTTCATCAGTCAAACCTCAAAATCCGCAATAAGACTATCAATTTGGGATGGAGGGAGCATCAAATATTGACATATACCCTCAAACATGGACCATAATTGACGATAATTTGTGGCTTAAGGGGTGGGGCTGTTTTGAGTAAAACAATAGCTTTCCTTCAAAGACCTCCAAATTGGAGGGGACCAAAATATTCCTTCAGCAAATTAACTCCTGTCTAAAAGAATAATTAATACAACTAACTGACCATGTAATTACCTGTATATTGGGTGACTTGAAGACTGACTGGGACTTGAAGTCCTCTAGATCTCGTTTGTATTGCTAACTAATACAGCTAAGAAGTAACCACCATTTATGATGTGGTTTGTAAATGTAATCAATTCTGATTGGTCCGTTAAGCCTTTGCAATTATCATTGCTTATCATTGTATTATAGTTTTATTTTATAAACTCATTTGCATCAAATGGTGTGTTTACATAGTTACATTAGACTCAGAAGGGGTAAGAGTGGCATAGTCTTTGACCTTATCCCTGAATAAGAATCGTTCAACAAACCAGTTAGTAAAAAGCAAACGCCTGGACGCTTAAGCGCACCAGGCGAGGTGCACATGAACCCTAGCGACTGAACAAAGGTCAGGTGCAGTTCCCTATCTTAGGCACAGGTAAGGAGACAAAGCGCTGAAGCTCTAAAAAGCAGTCACTGTACTCACCTAAAGGGGGAAACACGTTTAATACTATTTTTATATTTCAGACTATTTTAAATACTAAGCCCATACTATTAATATGATAAAGGCCATGCAAATAAAAGGTCAAACAACCTAAACCTATGTTAAACCTTACAAGTCACCGTAAGTGTTCGCTACCTCAACTCTCCCGCTCTGCTTTACTCACGTTACCTCACAGCAAGTGTTCGGTACCTCCTCCACATCAACCGCGGAAGCTAGCAACATTAGAAAATGGAGAAGGAACAAACTCCTCTTTCAATGATGAATAGTCCTTCATAGTTTGAACAAGGGGAATTGGACTAGAATCTGATTGTGTTTTATTTTTAGTTTTATTTTATTATTTAAGTATTGAATTCTGAATTCGATTGTTTTGTTTTTGTAAACTATGACTTTATTTTGGTGAATCATGATTTAATTTTGCTGAGTCGTGACTTTATTTTGAAGAAACACGAATTTTTAATCCAGTTGGTTCAATACGATGTTATGTACATCATGTTTGATAATTGCAGAATAATGTATGTGATAATTTTCTAAGCAATGCGCCTGACACCAGCGCTCTTTTGCGCCTTGCGTCTAAGGCGATGGAAGTACTCTAGCACCTTGAGTGCGTTTTGCGGCTTTACCTACCTTGCGTCAAACCCTTTTGCAACCAAGGGGTTGTTTACTTTTTTTTTTTCCTATTAAGTCCTGTCTGGATTAAAACATCTGTCAAGGTAAATATGTCTGTCTGGATTAAGTGATATTTATATATGAGATTGTTTATTTTGTATGCTGAATAAACAGTCCGAATCGAGTAAATAATCAATTTAGTATTATTCTTAGATTATAATGTCAATGAAAAACTTCATTTATTAATATAAATCTATTCCACAATCAATTTAAAAAAAATTGACAGAAAAACGTCTTAATAGACGTCTTAATGATTAAGTCATGTTTATAATTAAGTCGTAAGTAAACATGAAATAATGTATGAATGATTAAGTCGTCATTATCATTAAGTCGAAAGTCAATAGCCCCTAACTAGCCTTGTGTTATGACATTTTCCTAAACCCTTCACACTAGACATAAAGGTATTGCGTTTACGTTTTTTTTTTTAAAGAAAAAAAACCCGCTTATATTAATACCATTAGAATTTGGATCGTTACAACAAACTCAAAGAGATCAACACTGACAACAACTATCCGTAACCAACTAGCACTATCAACCCTACGGCTAGACTTAGAAACGATCACCCCTGAAAGAGTTATATGAATCGCTAACCAAAGGTATTGCGTTTACGTTTATACTCACAAGAAAATGTGGGAGTAGGCTTGAGATTCTTTACTTCTCATTCAACAAAAACTTTAGTTTAGTAAACTAGGCATTTATAGAAAATAGTACCTTGCTCAAGTGCATATTTAGTCTCAATCAATTGTCTAAAATTATTTTAACACTAAATTCATTCAAGAAGCCTAAATACTGAGATTTAGGCTTTCTCTATATATTTAACCTCCTTACCTCCTAAAGAATGAATCATCATCATCATTACCCCAGTGCCGTAAAGGCTTCCCACCTACGGTAGGGTAAGGGATTCGAAAGAATGAATATCGAGATCAAATTCCAAATCCATCTATTTACACATACAAGATATGTATAGTGAAAGAGTAGTCTAACCCTAACTGCTTCTGACTAAGAATAACTAATGCACCTAAGTAACTACTTAACTAAAATGATCTTGTTAACTTGACAGACTTATCCAGATGGTGATTTGGGTTTTTCACTTTTTCTTTGTCTGTTAGATTTCGCGACATTTTTTCATGATGAATAATGAGAAGCTGTATACCTGATTCTTCATTGGATTGCTCAATTTTTTTCAGAACCACTTCTGGTGAGGGCTGCAAGAAGAGAACGTGTGAGTCGCCCGCCGGCTTGGATGATGCGTCAAGCAGGAAGGTACATGTCTGTTTACAGAAAACTTGCAGAGAAACATCCGTCTTTCAGAGAGAGGTCAGAGACAACTGATCTCATTGTGGAAATTTCTTTACAGCCTTGGGAAGCGTATCATCCCGATGGAGTTATCATCTTCTCTGACATATTAACCCCTCTTCCCGCATTTGGTGTCCAATTTGACATTGAAGAGGTGCGGGGCCCAGTGGTTCATTCTCCCATACGTTCCGAGGAAGGATTGAGGGCGTTGCACTCTATTGATTTGGAAAAATTGCGTTTTGTGGGGAACTCCCTAAGGATTTTGCGGGAAGAGGTATAGAACTGACAGCTACTTGGGAAAAATGGTCTTGTCCCATATAATATTAAGGCACAATTGATGAATTTCACAAACCGAAGGAAACAATTAGGGCCTTTTTACTAACATAGATATTTTTCAGTTTTCTATTTCAGTTTTCCAATTTTCTGTTTTCATTTTCTAGTTTTTCTATCTCCATTTTTTTTGTTTTCATGTTTTAGTATTCAATTTTCAAATTCGAAAACATTTTCATTCGATTTTTCACCCAGTTCTGTTCCTAGTTTGGAATCGAACCTAATACAACCCAAGTAGGATACTGGGTCCCACGTATAGGAAAGTCGGATCAAAATCGGCTAGTCGCGGTCGATCTCAACAGTCAGTTTGATGAATTATTTTCCCATTTCCTTATTGGTTGACAACTCAACGGCTCTTGTAAAACCCTTCACTTTAGAAAATGATTTCGTAAAACCGAGACTGAACCGCTGAGTCATTGACCAGCTCGAACAGGGACCGTTGGGCCGTCTACGGGGCTGGCTCGAGACTGCCTAGGACTGCCCGGTGTTCAATCGGACCGAACAAATACCGTCAGGTCATTTGCCACACAAGACGAGAACCGTTAGGTGGTTTACCTGACAGGACGGGGATCGCCGGATCATTGACTGGACTAGACGGGGACCGCCGAGTTGTTGACTAGACCGGATCGGACCGGGATTGCCCGACTATTGATCGGACCAAACAAGTGGATCAGACAGGGACCGTCAGGTCATTGACCGGACCAGACAAGGACCGCCGGGTCGTGGACCGGACCAGACAGAGATCGCCGGATTGTCGACCGGACTGGGACCGTCGGTTCGTCGGCCGCACTGGACCGGGATTGCTTGGCCGTCGACCAAACCGGACATGGATTGACATGTCAATGACCGGACCGGACCGCCGGGTCGTTGACCAGACCAAATAGGGACCGTCGGGTCGTTGACCGGGACAGATAGGGACTGTCGGGTCGTTGACCAACATTGGGCGTAAGTATGCAAATCATTGCAGTGGCACTGCAGTATCCACGTTTTCCAAATTTGGAAAACTAGTAAAAGTAAATTCTCTAATTCATTAAGGAAAACAAAGACATATCTATTTTTTTTGGTTTTGGAAACTATTTGGTAAACACGTTTCGGCAATTCTCTAATTCTTTTCACCCTTCTCTAGTTTTCCGGCAATTTTTTTTTTGTAAACACGTTTTCTGTTTTCTAGTTTTTCAAGAAAAACTGGAAAATATCTCTGTTAGTAAACCGGCCCTTAATTTTTCTGGTTTTTAAAAATATATTATGGCATTCCAATTTAACCCCCCTATTATGCCTCGTAAGTGAATGGTGATGAGAACATAAAACTAACAATCAACGGAAGAAACCGTTGCCCAAAGCCACCAGGCTGAATAACCAATTTTATTCCCTCATAAATCAAGAGTGAACCCTAATTAGGGGTTTAAATACCTTTCTACTAATTCCAAATAGGAAACAAAAGAATAGAAATCATAATCAACTCCAAATAGGAAACAAAATAATAGATATCCTAAGTAGCTTCAAGTAGGAAATAAATCAGAAAATTATAAAAGAATAAAATTAATTAAATGGCCCGCAGTGAGCCCAAGAAGGTGGACTTAAGCCCGTCCCCACCTGAGATAAACCAACAAGGGTCACAACCTCTCTTCTTCCTGGTCCAACCAGTGCTTCCTATCAACTCCATCCTCCTTCAAAAGAACCTTGTCTTCAAGGTTGAAATCTGGAAATTGGTTAACAAAACTCTCCTTTTTCATCCACGTAACATCATAGGATTGCTCTACCCATTTGACCAACAGCTCTTCCACAGCCACCCCATTTTCACCTCCTGTTCGCCAAGCCAACACTTATTCGGGCTCAAACACTGGCCCCACCGGTAGTTCCAAACTTTTTGTGACACATGGAACATGGGGTGTATGCTGCTGGTGGAAGGTAAATCTAGTCGATAAGTCGTCGACCCCACTCGCGCCTCAACAAAAAATGGCCTATAAAATTTGGGTGACAACTTATGGTAAGGTTGGTGAAACATTGTAGACTCTAACCTTCAAAAATACCTTATCCCCAACTTGAAAATTCACCTTTTGACGATGTTTATTAGCTTGTGTAACCATGCGTTGATGTGCTTTTGCCAAATTTTCTTTAAACGAGCCATCCATACATCATGCCTGCCCAAAGCATCTGCCACGACAGCCACTTTACTCGAATTGTGGGTGGTGGCCGTCCGTACACAACTGTGAATGGGAAAACCCGGGTAGCCTTCTAAAATGCAATATTATACCAATATTTAGCCCATGGCGGCCATCTAAACCACTATTTCAGTTGCTCACAAAGTGAAACAACACAAATAAGTTTCCAACACTCGATTCAGCACCTATGTGATAAGCAGAACTAAACTTCAATTGTGTCCCCGAAAGTGTGAACAACTCTTTCCAAAACGCACCTACAAACAAAGAGTCACGATCACTGACAATAGATCGTGGAATGTCATGCAACCGGATCACTTCTTTGGAAAACACGTCGGTTACGAAACGCGTTATGATAGGGGTCTTGAGTGCTATGAAATGCCCATACTTGGATAAACGACCGACTACCACCAGAAGAGATGTGTACCACTTTGACCTGGGCAAGGAAGTAATAAAATCCATTGAGATATCTTCCCAAATCAGGTCAGGAATGGGAAATGGTTGTAGCAGTCCAGCGGGTGACATTGCTTCATATTTGGCGTTTTGACAAACCAAACACTGGGCAACATAATTCTGCACCCTATGGAACATGCCCCTCCAAAATACATTCATAGTAAGACTTCGGTAGGTGCAATAAGCACCCACGTGACCTCCTGCTGGTGTGTCATGAAATTCCTCCAACAAGTGAGGGATCCACTTAGAATCTGGAGCCAACACCATGTGGCCTTTTAAGAACAAATGGCCTTCCATGAATTCATTACCCGGTTTACAAGTCGGGTTCACCAAAAGTGCGTGCACAATTACTTGCAAGGAATTGTCCCGCTTTTGCTCTTCTTCCACATTCACCAATCCCAACCACTCAGGCCCGCCAATGGCAGCCAAATTGGCCTCCTCTCCTCTTCTTGAAATGGCGTCAGCAGCGCATTTGAGATGCTTGTCTTACACTCGATCACAAAATCATACCTTAGCAATTTCAACACCCAAACTAGTTGTGCTGGTGTTGCTATGCTCTGAGTGAGAAGATGTTTGAGGTTGTGATGATCACTACGAGCCACAAACTGCCGCCCAATCAAATACGATCGCCAATGTATGAACTGCTAAGGCTAATCCCATCATTCTCTTTCATAGGCTGACTTGGTAAGGATCCTGTCTACCAAGATTTGCAAAAATAAGCAATAGGCCGCCGTTCCTGCATGAGTACTGCCCCAACACTGGTGTTGGGCGCATCACATTCTACCACAAACAGGCGGTCAAACTGGGGCATAGCTAACACGAGTGCCTCAGTCAATACCTTCTTAAAGCATTGAAACGTCTCCTCTGCCTCTAGAGGCCAAACAAACTGAACTGGTGCTTCTTTTTTCAAGTGAGCCGCGAGTGGACATGCAATAAGACCGTACTCCCTCACAAACCGCCTATAATATCTTGTCTGGTCTAAAAAACCGTGAACCTCACGGATCGAACGGGGTTGTGGCCATTCCACCAATGCACTGATTTTTGAAGGTCCATTGCCACCCTAGCTTGTGAAATAATATGCCCAAGTTCTCGATCTCAAGACACCCAAAGGCTCACTTCTTCTTGTTAGATCTAAAGTGATTCCCCCCTCCTCCCGAATGCTTAAGACCAAGCTCAAGTGTTCCTGATGGTCCGTCCATGATCAGCTGTATACCTAAATACCATTGAAGAAGACCAATACACACTTCCGCAAGTAAGGTCAAAACATGTCATTCATTGCGGATTGGAATGTTGCTGGGTCATTCATCAATCCAAAGGGCATAACCAAGAACTCATAATGCCCGCTATGTGTTCGAAAGACCGTCTTATGGATGTCAGGTTCAGACACCTTGATTTGATGGTAACCAGAGCGTAAATCGATCTTGGAGAACATGACTGCCCCAACCAACTTATCTAGCGTCTCTTGTATTATAAGAATCAGGTATTTGTCCCGGACTGAACTTATTAAGCTCCCGGTAGTCCACACAGAAACGCCAACTACCATCTTTCTTTTTATCCAAGAGAATTGGGCTTGAGAATGGGCTCACACTCGGTTGAATGATGCCAGGTCGTAACATTTCATCCACTAATCGTTCAATCTCATCTTTCTCTAGGTGGCCATATCATTAAGGCCGAACTGGCACAAGTTTGGCGAGGGGGCAGCCCTCGTGGCTCCTCAAACACCTCAATATGCTACCCAAGGAGGTCATCTAATGCTTCCAAGTTTGGCGGGTTCGTGAACTAGAACGACCGCACAAAGTTCCATATCAGTGGTCTTGAGTGGGGTGCGTCAAGAACAAGAGAGAAGAACTTTTGAATATATTTGTATTTTTCTGCACACCTTACTGGTTTACAATAGCTGCTATTTATACAAGTATCAATCACGTCTATAAGGTAAGTAATAATGCAATCTTAAATGATAGAGATATGTAACAAGTAATTACAATATTATGTTTTAAATGTAATTTATTTATTTCATTTAATATGCCCCAACAAGCTCGGTATTCAGTTACTTCCAAGAATCCCGAGCTTGTCTCGATGAAGAATAAAGCATCGGGGAAACGGTTTGGTGAGGGCATTAGCTATCTGATCAGAAGATGGGATATGAGAAGATGGGATATGATGTACTAGAAGAAACCCGTGTGAGCCCATTGCTAAACAAAATGAAAGTCAATAGCCACATGTTTCATGCAAGGGTGGAAAACAAAATTTGTTGAAGACGCAGTAGCACCTTTGTTATCACAAAGGAGCAATAGCTCCCTCGTCCGTATAGAAGAATCTAGACAAAGAAAAGTCTATACAACTGTTACACAAGTTATTAGAGTTGTCAGTTACAAATATTTGTATTTAATATTATAATTAGTAGCCTGCCTTATTGATCCCTAGAATATTGTATAAATAGCAACTCATTTCATGAAATAAACCAAGTTATTCCGTCTCAATCTTTCTTATTCTAAATTCTATTAGTCCGTTATTTTGAAAGGATAGGTTGTCCTCAATGTCTTTGACCAATTCCATTGTGATCTCCAGACTGTTTGGTCGCAACAGCCGTAAGGAACCCCGAACTGGCCTCTTTAACCCATTCATTCATGAAATAACCCAAATAATGATCATTGGGACCTGACTCGCCAATCGAACAAAAATTGATATGTACTCCACTGCCTCTGTCTTCTTGATTCCGAACAGCCATTCAAAACGACTACCCTTAAGTCGTGCGTCAAATCTCACGACCCAATGCTTGCGTGAACTCCCCTTATGTCATGCCCGGTTTTTGCGCCCTTGACCAGGTCAATCAGTACAAGGCTGCCCCCTCCATCGCAACCACAACTGCTGCCACCTTCCTTCTCGGCGGAGTGCAATTAAGTTTGAACTGCTGCTTGGCCCTAGCAATCCAACCGATGGGGTCATCACTGTCAAACACGGATAGCTTCCAGATGTGTTGCTCTGCCCTGGCTCGAACGAGATCACCGTTGCTTGTTCCTGCAAAGCGGCCGCCGATGTCGGACCTTCAGTTGCCGGCGGCATGAATGCCTTTGAGAGCGCTGCTAAGGACGCCGCACTCTCCACTAGTTGCGCACTCTGTGCATTCAGTAGTTGATCTGGTCATTCCGGCGGGAGCGGATCCGGCCGGTCAAACCAATTGACGAGAATAGAAAACTAATAATCAACAGAAGAAACTGTTGCCCAAAGCCACGGGGCTTAAGTCTAATTTTATTCCCTCATAAAACAAGAGTGAACCCTAATTAGGGGTTTAAATACCTTTCTACTAATTCCAAATAGGAAACAAAATAATAGGAAACAAATAGGAAACAAAATAGGAAACAAAATAACAGAAATCCTAAGTAACTCCAAATAGGAAGTAAAGCTAGAAAATTATACAACTACAACATCCAAGCCTTAGTCCCAAAAGATATTGGGGTCGGCTAACATGAATCGATACGCGATATCACCACCAAAACGAAAAGAAAGAAAATAAAGAAAAAAAATATAAGCTATTATAAAAAAGACAATATAAAAAGAGATGAATATACCTAAAAATGATAAAATAAAATAAGATAAAAATAATGTTTATATAAATAAGGATAAAAGGATAAAAAAACAAGAAGAAGAAAAAAATAAGGGGAAAGGATATTACGGGATCACTCCTCCAGACGAATACCCACCCTCCACTTTGCTCTCTCCAAAGCCATCCCCCATCCAACTCCAGAAGAATTCATATTTCGATTCATGTCATGTGATGTGGCTAAGTGATACTGTTGGCTGTCACGCGCCTACCACAGCACCCTCCTCCTTTATCCTGGCTTGGGACAGACATGATACCAAAAAGATGATCTCATGGCGGAGTTAAAGCTAGAAAATTATAAATGAATAAAATTAATTAAACGATTCGTAGCCAATGCATGAAGGTGAGCTTAAGCCCGTCCCCGCCTGCGGTAAACCACAAAGGTCTCGCAACCACAGGGGTCTCGGCCTCTCTTCTTTCAAGTCCAGCTGCTGCTCCCTATCAAATGATTTTAAAGAAATAAACATAACACATTTTTTAGAGGCACACAACAGAAAAGTTCACTATAAATAGGTCATGGAAAAGTCCAATACCTTAATGATTATATGAGGAAGTAATTTTCATTAGATTTATTGTAATCAAACAAGATAAGTATAGTCAATTTAGTTGAAGAAACAAACAAACTCTGAAATATAATATGATTGTTAATTCACAAGTGTTGTCATCACAATTACCCCAGTGCTGCAAAGGCTCCCACCTACGGTGGGGTAAGGGGGGTCGAATGTACGCAACCTTACCCCTGCAGGCTCCCACCTACAGAGAGATTGTTTCCGGATGACCCACGGTGAAAATTGCGTCGAAAGGTGCATGGACTAAGTGCTGCTTCATAATAAAGAAACGCAAACAATTTAATGAACCATTTTGCTTTATTCCATCATATTCTCAACCCAAAAAACAGTGAATCTTTGGCTCCATTGCAAATGATGGAAATTAATTCGCAAGTGTTGTACATTACCAAAATTAAAAAATTGAAACATAATTGAAAAGGACTTATTTGATACGAATGGAGTATTATGTAAGTTCTCTTTTGTTGGCATGATGGACTATCCTGTGAAATTTTTCATGAACACTAAAGTGGTTTTACTATATGTTTGTATCTAAGGTTGGGGAGAACGCAGCAGTTTTGGGTTTTGTGGGAGCTCCTTGGACTATAGCTACTTACATTGTGGAGGGAGGAACCTCACGCTCCTTTACAACAATAAAGGGCATGTCCCATTCTGCTCCACATGTGCTTAAAGCTCTTTTGTCTCATTTGAGCAAGGCAATTACTGAATATATCATTTTTCAAGTTGAATCTGGAGCTCAATGTGTACAAATATTTGATTCATGGGGTGGACAATTACCACCTCATATGTGGGACAGTTGGTCAAAACCATACATTGATGAGGTAAGCTTTTGTCACATGTTTGTTTATGGGATCATAATATAAGCCATTCTTCAGATGTGCAATCTTTCCAACTTTCTTGGTAACTGCTTATCTGTTCGGATATGTTTGGATCTGCGCGATTGCTACTGAAATGAAACTTAATACTAAACCTCAATGCACTATGGGTGGTATGTTTGTGTTCACATAAGATTAAACTCTCTCTACCCAAAAATACAATCTTCTTTCAAAACTTGATTAAACAAAGATATATAATCTACATGTAATTTGCCAAAGAAAATCCCTGAATTGTTAGATGTCCTAACAATAGTTATAACTAGAAATAAAATTTTAAAAATGTGTAAAACTAATAAATTATAGGGGGAATTTGACTTTGCACCCCACTTTTTGGGTGATATTGAACTTTGCACCCCATTTTGAAAAAGCTTTAATTTTGCACCCCATTTAACTTAAAATTCCTTTGACTTTGCACCCCATTTAGAAATTTTTCTTCACAAAATGGTAGGTGTTGGGGTGCAAAGTTAAAGTTTTTTGAAAATGGGGTGCAAAGTCCAATATCACCCAAAAAGTGGGGTGCAAAGTCAAATTCCCCCTAAATTATACTAACTCCGTCCCACTCAACTTTGCCAAGTTGATGTTGATGTTGATGTTGATGTTGTGTGACTGAGGTTTGTGCAAAGGAGGGAGAAGTGAACAAAGCCATAAATTCATTGCCTTAAAAGGAAAGTGACAAAGTTTTTTGTGGCAAACAAAAAAGGAAGGCAAAGTCCAGTGGGATAGAGGGAGTAACATTTATATGTATACTTTCCAAATTTGAAAGGCATATCTTGATTAAATGAGGGAGGAGTGCTTTATGCTACTTTTAGAGAACCTCACAAGAATTTGAATGCAGATAGTAAGTGTAGTCAAGAGGAAGTGCCCAACCACTCCGCTTGTACTCTACATTAATGGAAACGGGGGGCTTGTTGAGAGGATGAAAGCTACTGGAGTTGATGTTGTCGGGCTTGACTGGACGGTAGATATGGCAGATGGAAGGAAGCGTTTAGGAAGTGATGTCAGCATACAAGGCAATGTTGATCCTGCTTCCTTATTTTTCCCTCTCTCAGCTTTGACCGATGAAATCAAGAGGTTAGTTACATGATTGAGCAGCAATTGATGTATCTATCATTAAAAATGTTTTAAAAAATCATGGCTATTAGCTGCTATGTTATTGTCCACACCTTTATCTCAATTTTGTTGGTGTCTGATTGGAGAATTGGAGACTGGAAAATGCTGGAGAAAGAAAATAGGAAGGACATTTGAGGAGAAAGAAAAATGTAGGGGAGTTTATCACCTGCATATATTTGTTATAAGTAATTTGATATGACACTCTTCGGGTTAGATTATAGTGGCAAAGTGACCACCATGACATGGGGGCCGTTTGCCGTGGCGATGGTACATTTATAGCGTTGCCACGATCATTACAAATAACGTGTATAGACAATATAGTTCTATGGTTTGACCACCAATATAAATAACCATCATCATCATCATTACCCCAGTGCCGCAAAGGGGGGTCGGATGTACGCAGTTTTACCCCTGTACTAAAGCACATACACCAATATAAATAACCAAATATAAATAAAACACGTAATCAAGTCATAATAGTACAAAAATGACCCTTATCAAAGTAATCAAACACATTTAACCAACTTAGGAGTTTTTCTGTTTTTATTTTTATTTTTATTACTTTTTCTTATTTTGTTCAGATAATATCAGATCATAAAAGTTCATATCAGATAAAAAAGATTCATATCAGACCAGAAAGATTCAGATCGCATTAGAAAGATTCTGATAAGATCATAAAGATATCATATCGCATTAGAAATATTCTGATAAGATCAGAAAGATGTCAGGTCAGACCAGAAGTCCAAACATGATTTATTACTTACTACGTTTATTATTATTATTACTATTATTATTGTTGTTGTTGTAGTAAATATTATTATTATTATTGTTATTATTATTATTACTACTATTATGATTATTATTATCAATATTATTTTTATTGTTATTATTATTATTTTTTATATTAACATAAATATAAATCATAGTTCTTGCTATTAATATTAAAAAAATCATAATGTTATTACACCATTTTACTATTATTATTAGTATGTTATTATTGTAGGTTGTTCTCATATCAATTAATTATGAATATTGTTATTATTATTTCTATGATCATTATTTGTATGTTGTTGTGGTTATTATCAATGATAATGTTATTACTGCACCATACTATTAATAATAAATTTTTATTGTTATTAATATTTGTATGTTACTATTATTACATAAATGTAGGTTGTTGGTATTTATAATTTAGTAATAATAGTAATACTCTGTAATATAATGATATTGATAACGCACATAATACTGATAATCATAACTATACAAATAATGATAATTATAATATAATAATATAATAATTATAATTATAATTATAATTACATTTACAGTTATAATTATAATTGTCATTTTAATTATAACTACAATTATAATTGTAATTATAACTATAACTATAATCATAACTGTAATTGTAACTATAACTATTATTATAATTGTAATTATAACTATAACTATAATTATAATTGTAATTATAATTATAATTATAATTTTGATTTGAATTACAATTACAATCTTAATCATAATTATAATTATAATTACATTTAAAGTTATAATTATAATTGTCATTTTAATTATAACTACAATTATAATTGTAATTATAACTATAATCATAACTGTAATTGTAACTATAACTATTATTATAATTGTAATTGTATTATTGTAACTATAACTATTATTATAATTGTAATTATAACTATAACTATAATTATAATTGTAATTATAATTATAATTATAATTTTGATTTGAATTACAATTACAATCTTAATCATAATTATAATTATAATTATAATTACAATAATAATAATAATAATTTAATATAATAATAAACACTCAACCTGATAAAAAAGATTGAGATCATGAGACCTCCACTCATGACACTGGAATTGGCCATGTAAAAACTAAAAAGAGGGTCATTAGTCTATTTCCGACCCTGTAGTCCAAGGCCTAAATTTGTATGCAAGTTATAAATATTTCATTCACATGTCATTGGGTTTAATCCTGATGAACACACACACATATTTGACAGGGTTGTAAGGTCTGCCGGAGCCAAGGGTCATATTCTAAATCTAGGGCATGGGGTGCTGGTTGGCACGCCGGAAGAAGCCGTCTCTCATTTCTTTGAAGTTGCAAGAAGTTTCAATTTCGATTACGCAGCAGCAGCAGCTCAGGCACCTCCCTCTTAGAGGACATTACTGCATGTTCTAAAAGTAAGAAGGCTAGTAGCAGGTCGGTGGTAAGTTTCCAAACATGGGTCTACCACTCGGCCCCTATAGAGCGCCACCTCACAATTTTTTCCTTGATTGTTGCTTTTTTAGATTTTAATGAGAAATGTAGATGGACTGCTTGATCTTGAGTGTTAAAACATATTCATGTCAACTTTGGTTGGGTACTTTGGGACGACTGGTGGATTTGGTCGGTTTTCAAATACTTTATTAAAATCTATCAAATTCATGACTAAATCCAAACAAAATTTCAAAATACTGGAAAAATTTAATCGTGTGACGGGGAACTACAAGAGATTTATTTAAAAGATTAGAAAACAATTAGCTCAAATTAACAAACATGTATATTTTTAAATCAAATAAATTTATTAAAGAGACTCATCTATATTCTATATATATAGTAAAACAAAAAAGTGTGGGGAGGTTTGGGAGGGAATTTGGGTGGGAAGGTGTGTTCAAAATTCAAATAATGTGCAAGTATATAGCCATATAGGTGTTGCCAACGAGTGGCACTAAATGTGTTGTCAATTATTAATTAGTTTTGTAAATTAATACAAAAAAACACATTAAATTACTCGGCTGTAATTGGATGAATAGGCAACGCAATACTTCATAAATCACAATGATTTGGCAGACCTCTGTATCTCATTGTTGAATCATGGCTTCTAGATTATTCCTATTTAATTGAATACATTAATTATTGAAACAATGCTTCGTAATTGATATATAGAAGACAACATGCACATAATACGAAAAGCTTTTAATACCGAGTAACTTTTGGAGTAATGCTTGAAGTAACTTTTCGAGCAATGCTTGAAGTAACTTTTGGAGTTCCCAAAAAGTACGTAGTATACAATAATGTTCCAAATGACTTTTAAAGATTCCAATAAACATACGATTGTATTTAATTTGTCTGAATACATGTGAGGACTATGTATATATGGAGTGAAGAGCACAAAGGATCCTTATCCAGCTACTCCAAGATGCAAGACCTATCAATGTGTCATTATCAAGTAAGTAATTAGAGAAAACATTATTGTATCCAACAATTGTATGCAAAAAACAGGTACTCATTTATAATATAATATCCACGAAAGTCTTCCTTCAAATCTTTAACAATATAATGCTTCGTACTAAGTTACTAACAATATAGTGGTATGAATTTATCAAAAAGTTCCTCCAAACGTACATTTCAAAAAAGATAAACAAGTTAAATGTATCCATATATACCAAATTTAGTTTTTAAAGTTCTCTACAGATGAATTCGTTGGGATTTAATAAACAAAAACTGATTCTTGATATTTAAATGTTTGAAAAAAAAACATGGCATGGTAATTTTTACGTTCCTTTATGCTCATTTGTTTGCGCATTTTAAAAGTTTTGACTGTTTGACCTCCATGATTCTTTTCCTAATCATGTCTATAACTTTAAAGGACTTCCATTGTTTGCGCAAAGCCGCAAATACTAGGATGATAAATATATTGTTCTTTGTGGTTTAAATTGCCCAAAAGAAAGTGAATATTATCTCGATCTCAACTATAAGAGATGTTCCATCTACAAAAAGCACACTGCTGAATCTGTAATAGTCTCGAGAGGTAAGGTTTTCATTTTTTATAGATTGTTGGTCAATAATGCTTGCAATGGTAATGAAACAAGTTTCAATAAAAAATACTTTGGAAGTTTTTAGGTTGATGCAAAAGTTGTAGCTGTGAAGGTGATAAGAACTGGACACAAACATTAGATCACAAGTTAGAGCTGGAATTAAACTTTTATTGGAGCAGTGGCACAAATGATTCTGCTATAGATATGGATAATGGATTCAACTATATGGTCACAGATATGAGATATTACAAAAGGCTCATTTATAATGGAACAAACCTCTAATAGTTTGGGATTAAATTGAAAACATATTCAATGTGGTTTGCTATCCAATTCCTAAGCTAGAGTTGAGCTCGAATAATAAAGTGGTCAAGTATTTTAGCTTAAGAATGGTTTATGGCTTAGTGCTTTCGGACAGAAGAAAAATAATACTTTTAGCAAATCTCAAACATGCACATTATACATTACCAAATTATACAAAACGAAGTGTACACCTTTAAATCATGAAAGAGGACTAATTAAATATACTTGCATAGAACAAAGAAGCTAAATTTACCCTGCAGAAACTCCACATGCCACACCACCATACTCTTCTTAGTTCTCATTGACAAACAAAAGAGAGCACACTATGGCATTTTCATCTGAAAGTGTAAGAAAAATTTAACAGTCTTAGAAAAATAAGAATATATTACCCATGATATAAACACTTCATTTAAATGGTTTGTATGTTTTCAATGTGAATACTACCCACTTAAAATTTTCTGCATCAGATAGTCTATTTTTGAATAAGGAACGTATTATACTTTCAATTTCAAATATAGTTCCTTGAAATTATATGAATACTTTCTGGAAATTAAAAAATAATTTATCTGTTTCCATAAGTTCACTTTTTCCCATTTCAATCAGCATAAAAAACTAATATTAGATGGCCGTATAGTATCCAAAAGCACAAAATCTTAATTTAAATAACTGATATTTAAAAAAATCAGTGAATCTTAGGTACATTCTAATGTCTGAGTAACAACAATAATATATACGCTCTGCGAATAAATATTAGAGGCTGAAGCAATATTAAGATTAACTGGAAAAAATGATGTAAGACTCAGCTTTATAATAAGAACTCCATTAATAATGGTGTCACTAAGAAGAAGAAAAAACAGCTTTTGCGAATTCAGGAGAATAAACAAACCAGTTTTTATACAAAATGAAATATATCTATAAGATTAAAACATGAACCGCAGGAATGGCCAGATACTAATACGTCTTCCGTGATTTCGGTTGGAATTGATACGTAGTATTACAAGATAGAGAAGTTGTTGACTCCGAGAGCTGAAGAATCGGAGAATACGATGAGTAGAGAGAGCTTTTACTAAATGGAATTTTAATTGTCAAAATAGGACCATACATTAAAAATTTTCTAAATAGGATTAACTTTCCAATTCTACCCTTTCTTTGTTTTTATAGAAAAATTCATTTTTCATTATTAATTAGAATATAACAGTGATAACATAATTTTATTTATAATAAAAACATAAAAAATAAAAATACGAAATAAATATTAAACAAAATTAATAAAAAAATCAAAACATAAATAACTACTCCGTATAAATTAAAAAATTTAAAAAGTTAAAATAAAATAAATTAAAAAGGGAAAAAATATTAAAAAAAAAATATAGGCCTATTCTGCCACCTTAACAACCTCCCAGCACCTATATCTCCGATCACCGGAAAAAATGTCAAAATTTGTCCGAAATGTCATTTGGATGGCAGCTTTTAAGAAAAATTTGACATTTTCAAAGGGTAAAAATGCCATTTGTATGACATTTTCATAGAAAAATGACACTTTTTCACAAAATGGTACTTTTTAAGTCGAATCGATGTAACTTGGTTGGGCAGTAGCCCAAACTGTGGGGGAGGCCTCCATATTTATATTTTTTTTAAAGGTGTTTTATCTATTTTTATTTATTTTTGAAGTATTTTTATTTTTAAAAAAATCTATTTTTTTTAAATTTTTTGTTTTATTGTTTTTTAAAAATATTTTAAATTTTTTTTAAAATTTTTTATGATTGTTTTTATAAATTAAATTATTCTTTTATTGTTCTTTGGGTTTATTACAAATAAAATATGATTATTCTATTAAGTTATGGTAAGGGTATAATAGGTAGATAGGGTATATTTTAGTCCTATTTTGGGAAGATAAATAACATAGTCCTATTTGTGCATTTAGGGATTAATTTAGTTCTATTAGGGCTATTAATCCTTTAACATTTAAGTTAATGTCCCTTTGGTGATCATGTTTTTCAATTTATCAGCCTTATAGGTCAATTTTTTCACTGGACATGTATTTTTTATTTCGAGCGCTGAATTGTGTAATAGTAAAAATAAATAAGGTTGAAGTTACTTTTAAGGCTGAATTGGCTGAAGTTACTGTAGAGAATCATTTAACTTCAGCCAATCCAACCAATTCAACTACAAATTCATAAATTACATCAGAATCAACCCATTCAGCCTGTTTCGCTGTTATCAACCGAGTCTTAGAGCCCGTTTGGTAATATTGAAATCGACTAAATCGGCTGATTCTGCTGAAATTTATGAATTTGTGCCGAATTAGCTGGATTGACTGATATAGCTGAATAGGAAAGAATATTTAAAAATTTAAGCTGAAATGTTATACCGATTGAATAAATAAAACCAATGGATTCAAGCGGAATACAAACATATATATAACCAATGTGATGTCCTTTTTTAGAGTAAAAAAGTGATGTCCTTGAGCACATTGAGATAACCAATGACAAAAAGATTTGGTTAAATTTTCTAAATGGAATACAAACATATAAATCAGTGGTGGGCATATCGGTTTTCAATTCAGTTTTATCGCTTTCAATTCGGTTTGGAATGGGTTGAAAGAATAAAACAAAAATCATACAATTTTTCGGTTTGGTTCGGTTCGTATTTTGTTATTTTTTAATAATATATGAATGTTTTATTGAATTTCTTTAGTTCGGTTTGGTATTGTCCGGTTTTTATCGTTTTCGATTCAGTTCGGTTTAATACGGTTTGGAAGAAATACTACCCAACTCAAACCAAATTGCATATGGTCCGATTTTGGTTCGATTTGGTACGTTTCGGTTAAGTTAAACTAAACGAATATACCACCCCTAATATTAATGGTTAATTTTTATTATTAGATTACGAAAAGATATACTCCGTGTTATGCATCATTTTACGGACAATTGTTGAATTAACATTATGATTAGTATTAGAAATTTAAAAGCCTACTCATTCATATGCAAAATAAATATTCCCGTGCAGCGCACGGGTACTATACTAGTTCTTAAGAAGCTTAACAATACAATCTAGGGCATCCCCGCCAATGACTAGAAAACAGTTAGCTGAAGTCTCAACTAGGGGTGGACCGGTTCTGGTTCGGGCCCGGTTCGGGCCTGGGCCCGGCCGGGCCTCGGTTCAGAAAAATGAGGCCCGAGCCCGAACCGGTGGTGGGCGGTTCCGGGTCCGGTTCTGGGCCAGACCGGGCCGGGCCACCCGGATTTTTTTTCTTCTTCTCTTATTTAACCCCCTACCCCTCCCTCTCCACCCCAAACCACCCCAAACCACCTCAAATGGCCCAAAATACCTAA